AATCAAAAAATACAAAAAAACATAATATTTATTTTATTATAATTATTTTCATAAATAAATTAGAATGTAAATTATGTAGAGTAATTAGGTTTTAATTGTAATTCCTTTTTTAATAAAAATCCAAAAATAGAATTTAGGGTAATTACTTTTTATTTTCTTTTATTAATTTTAATTTTCTTTCAGAATAACAATAGTATTTATTTATTATTTTATTTTTATAATTAAATTGTACATAAATGAATTAGATTTAATTTAGGTCATATTTTAATTCTTTCATAATAAATAAAAAATATTAGAATTAGGGTTTGCCGTCTAATTTAATTTCAATTAAATTCTTTTTTTCATTAAATCTAAAAAAAAACACCAAAATATCATTTTCATTTAGCTTTTTCACTTTTAATTCCTTATTAATTTTAATCATTTAATTTTAATTCTCATTAACCATCAATATTTTGTAGAAGGGTCCAACACCCTAATTTTATTTTAATTTCTTTATTTCGCGCATTTATTTTATTATCGCTTATTATAATTTTGTAAATATCCCAAAGCCATGTAATTTAAATTTCTCGCAATTTTATTTATTCGCTTTATTTATTTTTCCGCTAAATCGGGTCCGGTTTAATTTTGGCGATGTGGACCCGCGCCATTTGTAATAGTCTAGCTTTATTTCCTCGCAACTTGTAACTGTTAACCAAGCATGAAAGAATGAATGGCCTTAATTAAAATCAAGCGTAGATCACAATGACATGACAAAAGACAAATATCAAATGAAACATGACACACGAATCGCACACACCACCCCTAGGGTACGCCTCACTGTTGCCTCGAAAGGTGGTCGTCGAGTAGAAAACGTCTTAGTAAGTCCTCATGATCCGGGAACCTGGCATGAGGGTAGCTTCTAAGGTGTCTTCCCATTGCTCTGGTGATCACCACGTCCCGAATATCGAATTGACCCGAACACCTCCAACGGTGGTGCTACCTACCTCTCAATGGTGGGATGGCACTACTTTAAAGGACTCTTACACAGACGAATTCCTTAGGGTAGGTAGGTTCTCAAGGATACTTGCTCTAATCTCAAAACAAACTCAAAAAGACTTTTCACACTGACACTTTTCAAAAGCTTTCAAAACAAACTTTTCAAACACTCTGACGTATGAGTCGATCTGAAATTTTTCAAAGAAACTTTTAAACCCACATTGAAAAGCAAAACAATTTTGAAAACACAATGAGCAAGTATCTAAGAGCCCATGGATAACCATGGATAGAAAGGGTGCTAACACCTTCCCTTTCTATAACCTACCTCCCGAACCGAGAGCGATCTCTTAAAAGGAATTTTTCTGTGCTTTTGTCCTTTCCAATTGGAGAAAATAAAAGACGGTGGCGACTCTTGCTTCCGCGACATTTCGCGAACCAGCGTTAAACAGTCAGTTCCAGATCCACCGATCACAATGAGGCTAGAAAGTATATTTATGCACCATATTCACATTGTATTATGGTGTAATAGATGTAAACAATTTCAATATTATTCTTCTTATCCATCACCAAATTTTAGGTTACTTCATCACTAAGAAACTAAGTTAAAAGATAATAAATTAATGACATATATTTCATATACGTTCAAAATAATTAAAACTATATAATGAGGTTAGATATTTAATTTATTCACCATATTCACATTGTATTATGGTATAATAGATGTTAACAATTTCAATATTCTTCTTCTTATCCATCACCAAATTTAAGGTTACTTCATCACTAAGAAACTAAGTTAAAAGACTATTAATTAATGACATATATTTCATATACTTTCGTAATAATTAAAACTATATAATGAGGCTAGATAGTATATTTATTCACCAAATTCACATTGTATTATGGTGTAATACATGTAAACAATTTCAATTATATTCTTCTTATCCATCACCAAATTTTAGGTTACTCCATCACTAAGAAACTAAGTTAAAATACTATTAATTTAGGACATATATTACATATAAGTTCGTAATAATTAAAACTATATAATGAGGTTAGATAGTAAATTTATTCACCATAATCACATTGTATTATGGTATAACAGATTCAAAAAATTTCAATATTATTCTTCTTATCCATCACCAAAATTTAGGTTACTTCATCACTAAGAAACTAAGTTAAAAGACTATTAATTTATGACAAATATTTCATATACGTTCATAATAATTAAAACTATATAATGAGGTTAGAGAGTAAATTTGTTCACCAAATTCAAATTGTATTATGGTATAATAGATGTAAACAATTTCAATATTATTCTTCTTATCCATCACCAAATTTTAGTTTACTTCATCACTAAGAAACAAAGTTAAAAGACTCACTACAACATTTAGGCTCTCCAGCAACAATTGAAAAACGTTGCCAGAACTCTGAAAATCGTTGCCTAAAACAATAGGGGACGTTTTCTAGGCGTCTCCTGTGCGAGCGTTGCCTATTGTTTTAGGCGACGTTTTTTTATGTTTTTTGGGAACGCTTTTGAAAAACGTTGCCTATAGTAAAGGAATAGGGGACGATTATTTACGGCCTCTGAGACAACGTTTTTTAAGCGTTGCGTTGCCAAATTCGGCTACAATTAACAATCGTTGCCTTAAACCTGAATCAGGAAGATCGTTTTTGAAGTGTAGCCATAGCTTATAGATTGTTGTTTTATAGTGTCCACATAAAATATACAATTTTGCAATTATTATCAAAATAATATAGTCAATAATAATTGGCTTCAAAAATAATATTGATTATATAACTTAAACCATACATCCATAAAAGTTGTAATATAATAAAATCGAGTTCAAACTTTAATTCAAGATATAGTATATAGAGTACACAAAATGCCTAACGTAACAATATTACTTTTAATACTTTGAAGTATGACCCTAGTAAAATAACTAAAAACATAGTTCAACAAAAGAACAAAAATCATATTTTAAGTTTAATGCTTTCAACTACAAGCCAAAAAAAAGACATCATCCAACTCATTCAAGTTTGTCTTCTAGGAGTAAAGCATCCAGATCGTCCTCTTGAAATTCGTTAGATATGTCATCCTCCATAAATTCTTCATCTACGTCGTCCTCTTGAAATTCACCATATATATCCTCCTCTTGAAATTCATCATCTAGATCTATGTCGTCCTCTTGAAATTCTTCATCTACGTCGTCCTCTTGAATTTTATCATTTAGGTCGTCCTCTTGAATTTTATCATTTATGCCGTCCTCTTGAATTTCATCATTTATATCGTCCTTTTCAACATCTTCATTGATACATTGCTGCATAAGAAAATAAAATAAAACACATTAATCATAAGTATTTTTGGTCCAAAGGACAATTAAGACATCAACAAGAATTAAACCTCGCACAAATAAAAACTAAACCAATGAGCAAAACACATTGTTTATATTCTTCACATCTCATGGATGTGAATTAATTATGAAGGTTTTTAATGGATGTGAATTTTCGTTCTAAATTGTAGATTCTCATGAATTCTTTTTTTCAGCATTCCTGGTTTCAATATAATTTTCTCGTCATAATAATGTCATGAAAAGAAATATATAAATTTAAAGTATATGCAGGGAAGATGTAACTTTCGTGCATGTTAATTCTTAACCGCTTCCACCCTTGCCTCACCTTGCAACCATTGAATGATGACTGGTGACTTCGTCTGGTAAATAACTTTGAATGGAGTTTGTCCAGTAGCAGCGTCACATATAGTATCAAACCAATATTATGTCTAAGAAGATTGCTTCTTAAGCAAGTTCTTATGAGGTATAAACACTTTTTTTATTATCAAGAAACGAAAAGTAATGTTGTGATGAAATAGTTGCAACTTAAGTCTAGAAAAATGTGTATCTGGCGCTATCAAATTAGTTAAGAAAGCAATGCCTCAAGAAATGGCAAGTAATATTGTGATAAATAGAGGAAGCAATGCCTCCATTGTTATTTGATAACAATAAAGCATGTTAGCCTGTTGGAGATGTTTGCAGTTAGTAAACAAATCTTTATTGTAAATCTCATTCAAATGGAGGGCTAGAAACTGTAACATAATCAGACATAAAATTCTAAAAGGTCAACCAAAAAAACATATGCCTAGAGGTTCCTAATTCTGGTTTGATAATGATTTCCAAATTTACAGATTGATAACTTTCAAGAATGATAGCAAAATTTGAAAAAGAATTCATTATCAAATTTATTTGAATTAGAATGATAGGAGCCTAAAATCTGAGAATAGAGGAATCACATTCAATCAAACTCACAAGTTAGCACTTTATAGCTTCATCCTAATACTGTATCCGATAATAACTTCATATAGATGTCGCCTTTTCATAGCCTGCTCGAGACTGGAAGGTGCATCGGCGATCTTCCTATAGTGTTTTTGTGTAGAACTTCGAGCGACAAGATGTTGCTGAAAATGCCGGTAACGCAGAACTTTCAAACATTAAGACCAAGAAGTAAGTGCTAATTTTGAATAACAATACCAGAGTTCAAATTGCATCCGATATGCGATGTGCTTCAAACACTCCATCAGCAGCCGTAAGCGACAATTGAGCAGTAGTGCCATCATCGACGAGAAAGTACATCCAATGGCAGAACATCAAGTCGTTTCATCAAATAACATCACCTATATCAAAATAAAACAAAAACAACTCTCATTATTAGTTGAATTTCAGCTTTTATTTCATCATTTAGCTAATAAATCTAGAATACACAATTTGTTATTACACATTTTCAAGCTCTCAAGTCATGATTAGCACAATTCATATTGAATCTTGCTTTGGCCCTTCAGACAATTTTCATTAAAACCAATATATGAGACAAATGACAATGTGCATCAACAGAGTACTAAAAGCAATTAAGTGAGAATGAATTTGAAAAGTACAAAAGTAAATACTACCTTCCCACAAACAGGAAAGTTGTCACTTCTTTCCATCAACTGATATATGTCTTCTGAATCTTCATACAACCAGAACAAGTAGGGATCATATTCTAGAGCCCACATCATCTGTTAAGTATTTAAAGAAGTTAGTTATTATTACAATCACTATAGATTGTTCCTATTGCAGTATGCAATTCAAAAACTTGATTTCAACAAACAATTTCTAACAGAAATTGATGCAAACTGTTATTAAGGCACCGAGTATGTTAAGACGTGACTAAGATCAAAGAAAAATGCCATGGAAGTTCAATATTGTTGACATATATTTACATTTTATGAGAATGCGCGAAAAGCAAAAAGATATGATGGACCCTTTGATAGTTTGCAATCAGACCTGAGTAATTGTCGTTTGGTCCTAGCAGGAGAGCAGTAGCATTATCCAGATTTTTCTGTAGGAGAGCAGTAGCCTGCAACAGATATTCATATTGTACACATGTAAGGTTAAAATTTAACAGAAAGGAAAACAGTAATAATGCCCTGAACTAGTGTAGAAATACCTCTTCTAATGAATATTCCAACATAACATTTGCTCCCAGCCATAAACACACAGAATCAGTTTCTTCTATAGAAGCACGTGAATATATTCCTTCTGACACCTCAAAATCAGCAATAAGTTCCTGTATCCAAAGTCAAACATAAATCTCTAGTTTAAAACATAACTAACGTCTTTCCCTTGTAGTAAATGAATTTAAACAGTGGTACTGGTATCATATTGTTTATAAGTGGAAGCTGACATTATAATTAAATACATCAGGTTCCAAGCCTCTTTTGACCATCCTATTGAATAGTTCTTTAGCCTCGGTAATAGTTTTCTCAAACAATACCCATCCATCAGAGCATTGTAAGTAATAATATCTGGTTTCTCGCCTCTTTTCATCATCATAACAAACACACCTTGTGCTTCTAAGATCCTTCCTTCTTTACATAGTGCATCAATCAATATGTTAAATGTAAAGTCATCCATTTCAACGTTTTCCCGCACCATTCTCGTTAGTAACTGGGTTACATCTTGCCATCGACCCAGACTGCAACAACCACGAATTAAAGAGTTGTACGTGACAACATCAAGTAAAACTCCCTTATCAGCCATCCGAGAACACAAACTAAGCGCATCTGTGACAAGTCCATCTTTGCATAGTCCATCAATGACTGCACTATACATTACTAGATTCGGTTCAACCGACCGTTCCTCCATCTCTTGTATCAAATGCAACGCAGCTCTAGTTTGCCCATTTTTACACAACCCATTGATTAAAATCCCATAAGTAAACTCATCAAAAAGATACCATTGGGCTACTAGGTCTTGGTAAAAGTTCAAAGCTTTAAAAATCATCCCATTCATACAAAAACCATTAATAATTGTATTAAAAGTCACCATGTTAGGTTCATAGCCACTCTTAAGAATGGTACCCAATAACGAAAAAGCAAAACCCATATGAGATTGATGACAAAAACAGTTAATCAAGTTGCTGAAAGTAGCAATGGAAGGTGAAATTCCCCTAAGTTGAAACTGCGAAAAAAGAGAAATTGCAGTGGGATAATGACCCATCCTCACAATAGCTCCTAAAACCTTGTCAAATTCACAAGTGGGTGGCGGAGAAAGTGCGCGAATCAAGCAATTGAAACGAGTAACAGCAGCATCTACATTATGAAACCCAGAACTTTTTCTACCATAGTGGCGTTGCAAATGACTGAAGAAGCGATAAAGAAACAATGTAGAAGAAGTTAGAATAGGATTAGGAGAGAATTTGGGAATGGCATACCTTGGATTTAGCATCATCAATAGAGTGAGGTGATTTCACACTCGAGATTCGTTCCGTTCCGTTCCTCTCTCGTTTTCTTCTTCAACTACGGAACGAAAAGCTCTTGTTGTCACTGTGTGTTGCAGCAAGGGTGGTGTGTGGTTTTTCTCTTTAAATCAGAACCATTCTTCATTAAAAAATGATAATAATGCAAGGTGAATAGAAATATGATGCTGCCTAGGGTTTATGTTTTGATTCTTTTCAGTCTCCACCTCCAACATCAGCTCATGCTTTGTGGCAAGATTTTTGTGTATTTCTATGTTTTTAGAAGAAAAATTTCTGTTTAATTGAAATATATATAAGTTTTAGACTAATATATATATATATATATATATATATATATATATATATATATATATATATATATATATATATATATATATATATATATATATATATATATATATATATATATATTTCTGTTTAATTGAAATTTTTTATTTTTAAATTCCTGTGTTAGAAAAATATTTTTTTTATATATATTAATAATGTTTAGAGAAAAATATTTGTTTTTTAGTATATAAGTTATTGCCACCAAAAATTTGATAATTCTAAAAAAATTTATACAACATTTCAGAAATGTAGCCTTTTATTAGAACTAATGTAACAATCTAAAAATGTCCCCAAAAATATTTTAGGGGACAATTGTCAAACATTGCTAAAGAAATAATATTTTAACGCTCTAAAATCGTCCCCAAAAGCAGTTAAGGGCACAATTAACAACCGTTGGCAAAAAAATAAAAGAGTATCGCTCCATAAACGTCCCCAAAAGTATTTTAGGCAACGATTATCAAGGGTTGCAAACATATTTTTGACAACAATCGTAAATCGTTGCCTATATGAATTTAAGGCAACAATTTCTACATGTTACCTAAAAAAGTGTTGCCAGAGACAACAAATGTTGTAGTGACTATTAGTGAATGACATATATTTTATATACGTTCGTAATAATTAAAACTATATATTGAGGTTAGATAGTAAATTTATTCACCATATTCACATTGTATTATGGTATAATAGTTGTAAAAAATTTCAATATTATTCTTCTTATCCATCACCAAATTTTAGGTTACTTCATCACTAAGAAACTAAGTTAAAAGACAATTAATTAATGACATATATTTCATATACGTTCGTAATAATTAAAACTATATATTGAGGTTAGATAGTATATTTATTCACCATATTCGCATTACATTATGGTATAATAGTTGTAAATAATTTCAATATTATTCTTCTTATCCAACACCAAATTTTAGGTTACTTCATCACTAAGAAACTAAGTTAAAAGACTATTAATTTATGACATATATTTCATACACGTTTGTAATAATTAAAACTATATAATGAGGCTACAAAGTATATTTATTTACCATATTCACATTGTATTATGGTATAATAGATGTAAACAATTTCAATATTATTCTTCTTATCCATCACCAAATTTTAGGTTACTTCATCACTAAGAAACTAAGTTAAAAGACTATTAGTTAACGACATATATTTCACATACGTTCGTAATAACTAAAACTATATATTGAGTTTAGATAGTAAATTTATCAACCATATCCACATTGTATTATGGTATAATAAATGTAAACAATATCAATATTCTTCTTCTTATCCATCACCAAATTTTAGGTTACTTCGTCACTAAGAAACTAAGTTAAAAGACAATTAATTAATGACATATATTTCATATACGTTCGTAATAATTAAAACAATATAATGAGGCTAGAAAGTATATTTATGCACCATATTCACATTGTATTATGGTGTAATAGATGTAAACAATTTCAATATTATTCTTCTTATCCATCACCAAATTTTAGGTTACTTCATCACTAAGAAACTAAGTTAAAAGATAATAAATTAATGACATATATTTCATATACGTTCAAAATAATTAAAACTATATAATGAGGTTAGATATTTAATTTATTCACCATATTCACATTGTATTATGGTATAATAGATGTTAACAATTTCAATATTCTTCTTCTTATCCATCACCAAATTTAAGGTTACTTCATCACTAAGAAACTAAGTTAAAAGACTATTAATTAATGACATATATTTCATATACTTTCGTAATAATTAAAACTATATAATGAGGCTAGATAGTATATTTATTCACCAAATTCACATTGTATTATGGTGTAATACATGTAAACAATTTCAATTATATTCTTCTTATCCATCACCAAATTTTAGGTTACTCCATCACTAAGAAACTAAGTTAAAATACTATTAATTTAGGACATATATTACATATAAGTTCGTAATAATTAAAACTATATAATGAGGTTAGATAGTAAATTTATTCACCATAATCACATTGTATTATGGTATAACGGATGCAAAAAATTTCAATATTATTCTTCTTATCCATCACCAAAATTTAGGTTACTTCATCACTCAGAAACTAAGTTAAAAGACTATTAATTTATGACAAATATTTCTTATACGTTCATAATAATTAAAACTATATAATGAGGTTAGAGAGTAAATTTGTTCACCAAATTCAAATTGTATTATGGTATAATAGATGTAAACAATTTCAATATTATTCCTCTTATCCATCACCAAATTTTAGTTTACTTCATCACTAAGAAACAAAGTTAAAAGACTATTAGTGAATGACATATATTTTATATACGTTCGTAATAATTAAAACTATATATTGAGGTTAGATAGTAAATTTATTCACCATATTCACATTGTATTATGGTATAATAGTTGTAAAAAATTTCAATATTATTCTTCTTATCCATCACCAAATTTTAGGTTACTTCATCACTAAGAAACTAAGTTAAAAGACAATTAATTAATGACATATATTTCATATACGTTCGTAATAATAAAAACTATATAATGAGGCTAGAAAGTATATTTATTCACCATATTCACATAGTATTATGGTGTAATAGATGTAAACAATTTCAATATTATTCTTCTTATCCATCTTCAAATTTTATGTTACTTCATCACTAAGAAACTAAGTTAAAAAACTATTAGTTAACGACATATATTTCACATACGTTCGTAATAATTAAAACTATATATTGAGGTTAGATAGTATATTTATTCACCATATTCACATTGCATAATGATATAATAGATGTAAATAATTTCAATATTATTCTTCTTATCCATCACCAAATTTTAGTTTACCTAATCACTAACTAAGAAACAAAGTTAAAAGACTATTAGTTAATGACATATATTTCATATACGTTCGTAATAATTAAAATTATATATTGAGGTTAGATAGTATATTTATTCACCATATTCGCATTACATTATGGTATAATAGATGTAAATAATTTCAATATTATTCTTCTTATCCAACACCAAATTTTAGGTTACTTCATCACTAAGAAACTAAGTTAAAAGACTATTAATTTATGACATATATTTCATACACGTTTCTAATAATTAAAACTATATAATGAGGCTACAAAGTATATTTATTTACCATATTCACATTGTATTATGGTGTAATAGATGTAAAAAATTTCAATATTATTCTTCTTATCCATCATCAAATTTTATGTTACTTCATCACTAAGAAACTAAGTTAAAAAACTATTAGTTAACGACATATATTTCACATACGTTCGTAATAATTAAAACTATATATTGAGGTTAGATAGTATATTTATTCACCATATTCACATTGCATAATGGTATAATAGATGTAAATAATTTCAATATTATTCTTCTTATCCATCACCAAATTTTAGTTTAACTAATCACTAACTAAGAAACAAAGTTAAAAGACTATTAGTTAATGACATATATTTCATATACGTTCGTAATAATTAAAACTATATATTGAGGTTAGATAGTATATTTATTCACCATATTCACATTGCATAATGGTATAATAGATGTAAATAATTTCAATATTATTCTTCTTATCCATCACCAAATTTTAGTTTACCTAATCACTAACTAAGAAACAAAGTTAAAAGACTATTAGTTAATGACATATATTTCATATACGTTCGTAATAATTAAACCTATATATTGAGGTTAGATAGTAAATTTATTCACCATATTCACATTGTATTATGGTATAATAGATGTAAACAATTTCAATATTCTTCTTCTTATCCATCACCAAATTTTAGGTTACATCATCAATAAGAAACTAAGTTAAAAGACAATTAATTAATGACATATATTTCATATACGTTTGTAATAATTAAAACTATATAATGAGGCTAGAAAATATATTTATTCACCATATTCACATTGTATTATGGTGTAATAGATGTAAACAATTTCAATATTATTCTTCTTATCCATCACCAAGTTTTAGTTTACTTCATCACTAAGAAACTAAGTTAAAAGACTATTAGTTAACGACATATATTTCACATACGTTCGTAATAATTAAAACTATATATTGATGTTAGATAGGAAATTTATGCACCATATTCACACCGTATTATGGTATAATAAATGTAAACAATTTCAATATTATTCTTCTTATCCATCACCAAATTTTAGGTTACTTCGTCACTAAGAAACTATGTTAAAAGACTATTAATAAATAAAATATATTTTATATACGTTCGTAATAATTAAAACTATATAATGAGGTTAGATTGTAAATTTATTCACCATATGCACGTTGAATTATTGTATAATAGATGTAAACAATTTCGATTTTATTCTTCTTATCCATCACCAAATTCTAGGTTACTTCATCACTAAGAAACTAAGTTGAAAGACTATAGTTAATGACATATATTTCATATACGTTCGTAATAATAAAACTATATAATGAGGTTAGATAATAAATTTATTCACCATATTCACATTGTATTATGGTATAATATATGTAAACAATTTCAATATTATTTTCCTTATCCATCACCAAATTTTAGGTTACTTCATCACTAAGATACTAAGTTAAAAGACTATTAATTTATGACATATATTTCACATACGTTCGTAATAATTAAAA